GCCCGCCGCATCTGTTTTTACCGGAAGTGACGCATCGGATCTTGCGGCGCGGGGAAGCTACCTTCAGATCCCCTTCGGCATTTTCGATCAGTCGAGCCGAAGCTATCGCGAAGGAATTATTGTTTATCCCTTTTGCGACGCCTCGGGAGGAGCCTTAATTAGGGTGTGTGCGTTTAAAGAGGGGCTTTGAAATAAAGAAGTCGGGAGTCTGTGGGCGCGAAACAAAAACTAGTTTTGGCTTCCCGCGGGAGCGCTTAAACTGCCGCTCAGCGTGGAGGTGAAACCGCAGCCCAGCGCGCGAGGAGAAGGCGGGTCCAGCTTCCCCTAGATCGAAGCGGCCGGGCTGAGCGGCAACGGGGAGAGGCCACCACTAACGGCGCCTTTAAACGTGCTCCCTGGCCAGTCCTTGCGAAGTTCGCCATACAGTTGTCCGGAAGAAGCATCCCAGGTGCAAATGTAAGAGTTGGGCAGGTGAAAAGTGGGCAGCGGGAAGGTTGCTTTCCCCAGTCAAATAAGTGGAAAGCAGTGGATATAATCTTCTTGACCCTCCCGGCCCTCTCTTTCTCATTCCCGTCTAGTGTGCTGCCTTCTTGCGCAGATACTTCCACGAAATTTTGTGGAAACCTGACTATTTGGGGTTTGCTTGCCCTACGTTGGTTGGTCGTTTCTTCCAAAACAGGACGCGTGACCACGCAGGGGTTGCCCCTTTCTAAAATAACCAGTGAAAACACTCATCCCAGGAAAATGACATTGACTGCCTGGTTTTCCTGGTAGATAACTGTCAGGACTTGGAGTGGGGGAAGGGAGTGAGTGCTCTCCTTACCCATTTGGACTTTGCACTGCATTGATAATAATGTCTACGGGACCAACTGTCAGAATTGGAGCCAACAACACTGATGCATTGGCTCTGCTCTTTCCTAACTGGGTGATTCTGGTAGGGGATGGTGGGGAATGAGAGGGAAGACAGGCTGGCACTTTCTTGTGGGGTGCCCTAGGGCGTAGTCCATTCTCCTGTGTTGTTTAACTCTACATAAATCTGTTGGGAGAATTTGTATGTTGGTTTGGGCTGAGGTACCATCAGTTATCTGATAGTACTCTGTTTCATATCTCCACCCTTGGCCAGGCAGGGGATACAGTGGACCATCTGTCTATTAGCATCAGTATTAACTCTGGATGGGATGGCATTTCCCCTGAAGAAGCAGGCCTGTGACTTGGGAATAACCCTGGATTCATGATTGTGAAAGATGCACTGGTGAAGGCCCTGGCTAGAGCGTCTTTCATCCATCTTTGGCTGATGCAGTAGTTAATGGCCTTAACATGAAGAGGCAGCAAGGATTCACGCCATCATCAACACCTTAAACGGATACTGCCATCCCTTTACATGGGACTGCCTTTGATGACAGCTCAAAGCCACAATTAGTACAGTATTTAAGCAGCCTGCATGCTGGAAGTGAAAACAGCTAAAGTTGTATAATTCCAGTGTTGGAGGCACTGAAGTGGTTCCTAATAGGCTTCTGAGTGCAATTCAAAGTGGTGCTTTAAATTTTTAAAGCCTTACATGGCTTGACTTCAGAACTGCCTTCTCTAGGTAGAACTACTCTGTCTGATTTGGTGGTTCTATGTGGGAAAGTTTGTGAAGTAAAGTTGTGAGATAAATGGGGGTCTGAAAAAAATTCTGTAATGTCCCACACCTCATGGAACAACCTTTTCCAGAATTTTGGATTGTACCCACCTAACCATTGTATAGAAAAGCACTGAAGACAGATCTCTTCCTCAGGGTATTTGGACCCTAATGCATTTTAAAATTAATTTTTATAGTATTGTACAGATAGTCTCCAGTTTAATAACTAGTTCTATTCCCAAGGTTTGGGTTTAAGTCAAATTTGTATGTAAGCCAGAACAGTATTATTGTATAATACTGTATAAGTCGTATTGTGTAACTTGAACAA